TTATCTTCATCGAGTCCAGTTGCGTCTCGTTTTGACGAGACGTTCTTGCGGCCTCCTCCGAATCCGGCACCATCAGCTCCGCTGGCCGAGGCTGCCGCATCGCCTCCGAACCTCGACCCCGCGACTCCTCCTCCTCCAAGCGAGCTGTGGATTCCACGCGCCGCCGGGCCGGCCGTTTGGTTCCCCAACGCCAGCGAGGCGCTGTCTCCTCCCCGGCTTGCTAGCGACCTGTCCGGAGCAGCCGCCAACGCTGTTTCCACCCCAACCACCAACAACACCAACATGACAGTCTCTTCTTCCTCTCCATCGGCTGCGTCGGGCCCGCATCTCCTCGACTGTGCCGCTCTTGTCATGCTTTCTCTTCTGCTCACGATTGCCAAGCTGGCCTGCGTCGGCTGAATGGGGCGACAAGCCACCTTCATTTCCGCTTCACCCGCCGGTTAGCTCTTCTTCTTTCTTGCACATTTTTATCACCTCCAGTCTGCACGGACTCTTGCCACACTTTCTGCATCTGCACCCACTTTCTCCCCACTACACCGTCCACTCAGAAGCCCACTCTTCTACCTTTTCTGCACTATTTTGCTGGCCTCAACTGCGCCCATTGCCCCATCTTTTGGGCCACATGCAAACTCCATTCGCTCGCGATTGCACAGCTCTGACTGTCAAGACGAGCCAACTGTTGTGGCGTCTCGAGGGTCGAGTCTCGTCTGCAAAGCAGTTGGCCCGGCAACCGTGTGCACGACCACCCGAAGAAGAGTGTAGAGTGAAAAGACGCTCATCGACTTTGTCCTTCTCCTCCAGCCTACCCTGCAACCTTTCATGTATGATTTAATCTGTTGTAATTATCTATCGATACAGTGGGTGTGTGCACACTTGGACAGCCCACTGTATCCATCATGGACGAGACATGGATGCGCCTAGCCAACCGCCGCCCCGATTCGTCGCTACATGTGAGATGTTCTTCATCACCTTAAACGAAATATGGTGAAGACATGAGATACATCTAATTTAATGGTAGTCTCGACAACCTTCTTATGTCGTCTAAGTTGTCCCGGCAACCAGCCGGCAAAAAAAATGGCCTCTTTTCGCCGATCTCTCGGCCCTCGGACAGCCGAGTCCGGAAGACAGGGCTTCCGTCTGCTTTCTCTTCGCCTCCTCCACCGAAGCCCAGTTGCCTTTACACAACCTTTGCCATTGACAAAAGAGCCCTACAGATTGCTGAGATAACCCCTTCCCCGAGCTGATGGCAACTTTTCGCCAGCCTCAGTCTCCTTCCACTTCACCCTTAGGTTCACATCTTCAGATTCTCCCGAGCCGGGCCGCCTCGTCACCCACTTGTGCCGGTCAACATTGCTTTTCTTCTTGTCT